GAGATTCGAGTGACCACTAAAAGCATTAATTAGAGCTCCATCAGTTGGTTTAGAGGATTCCCATTAGGTGTTACTGAATAAAGATAGGAGTGTGTATGATATGAATCTATTGTTGTAGAGTAAGTACTAACACATCTTCATTTGTAGGGCTAAAAGTGCAGGGAGGAAAGTTAGAAAAACTCCCTCCTGGACCATAGACATAGATTACTTGGTGGAGGCTGAGACTGAACTAGGAGAGATGATGAGGAATTCAGGACTGGAATGAAACAAAAATGATAAGAAAAGGCTACAAGACATACTTATACTTATGAAAGTGTGTGTGTGTGTGTGTGTGTGTGTGTATACATAAGAAACTAACTTTTGTATTATGAACCTTTCAAATGGAGATCAGTCAAAAGTGTGGCCTATGGTCATTTTAGCCTCATTGTCAGGGAGATACCTGGTGAAGTTGGGATAGGGTGGGCATGGGCGTGGGTGTGGGTGTGGGTGTGGGTGTGTGTGTGTGTGTAGCAACCTCAGCACTGGGTATTTGTGGTGATGCAGAGTCTTATGTCTTACTCATCTCATCCCCTAGTCCTTCTCACTCCAAAGTCCCACTCCCTTGCCTTCCCAGAGTGCAGAAGCAGAGATAAGTTGAGCATAAGGACGTCTATAGGCTGGATAAGGAAGGATGCCAATATAAGCAGCAGAAAGGTTGTTGAGAGGTGCATTCTGAAGGGCATGAAGCCACCTTAGCAGATATACAATGGGGCAGGTGACTAACACAGCAGGTAGGACTCTACTTGGAATGCCCACATTCCATACCAGATCCCTGGGTCCAAGTGCTAGCTCTGCTTTTGATCCAGCTTCCTACCAGTGTGCACCCTGGGAGGTGGCAATGTACTTGGGCTCAAGTACTTGGGCCCCTGCCAACCATGTGGGAGATCCAGCATGAATTCCAGGCTTCAACTTGGCCCAGCTCTGGCTATTGTGAGCATTTGGGGAATAAACCTACAGGTGGGAAATTCCTATTCTCATATTCTTTCTTTCTCTCTCTGCTGTTCAAATACATGAGTACAAATTTAAATTAGTTTCTTTTAAAAAGAAGATACAAAAGACCAGGCATCAGATGCAGACACCTGAATTGAAGTCAGAAACTAAAGCAAAATGCAAATGAAATGGGGGCAGGGAGAAAGAAGATTGGAACATTCCCTATTTCTTGCAGTACAGTGGGTCAGAGCACCTCTCCTACTCAAAATGGTTAATATGCTTTTCCAAAAGGTCTTCATCAAATATTCATCTTTGTAACTGTATCACTGACCTTGTAATAAAATAAGGACTTCGCAAAGGCCAGAAATAAGGCAAAAGTGGGAATTTAGACAGGAGTTCTTTTTGCTCTTGAGGGCTCGAGTCCAACCCTAGCATCACTGAACTTTGGTTTTGACAGGGAGAACTCAAGAGCTGGGTTGTGGGGTGGGCACTAGGTGCAGTGGTTAGGACACAGCTTGAGACACCCACATCATATATTGGAGTCCCTGGATTTGAGTCTCTGCTCTGCTCCCAATTTCAGCTTCCTGCTAATAAGCACCCTGGGAGGCTGCACAGGATGGCTCAAGTGCTTAGTTCCCTGCCACCCACGTGGGAAACCTGGACTGAGTCCTTGGCTTCCAGCTTCAACCTTTCCCAGCACCAGCTGTTGTGGGCTTTTAGAAATGAACCAGGGCCGGTGCCGCGGCTCAATAGGCTAATCCTCCACCTTGCGCTGCTGGCACACCGGGTTCTAGTCCCGGTCGGGGTGCCAGATTCTGTCCTGGTTGCCCCTCTTCCAGGCCAGCTCTCTGCTGTGGCCCAGGAGTGCAGTGGAGGATGGCCCAAGTGCTTGGGCCCTGCACCCCATGGGAGACCAGGAGAAGCACCTGGCTCCTGCCTTCGGATCAGCACAGTACACCGGCAGTAGCATGCCGGCCTTGGCAGCCATTGGAGGGTGAACCAACGGCAAAACAAAGATCTTTCTCTCTTTCTCTCACTGTCCACTCTGCCTGTCAAAAAAAATTAAAAAAAGAAAAAAAGAAAAAAAAATGAACCAGTAGATGGAGGCGCGCGCTCTCTCTCTCTGTCTCTCTCTATCCCTCTCCTCCCTCTCCCTCACCCCATCTACATTTCAAACAAAAATAATTTTTAAAAACATTTTTTAGAAAATAGGTCTCATTCAACATAAGCCACAAAAGGAGTCCCCTGCATAGATGTGAGACATTAAAGACCAACATTGTCATTACAAGGGTAACTAGAAATAAATCTACTGTGTAGAAAAAGAAATAATATTTAGAACAGAATAAACTTAAATATAAACAAACAATACAGAGGATCAATAAATCCAACATTGGTTCTTTAAAAAGTCTTACAGTTGACAAACTTCTGGCAGTACTGATCAAAAGAGGGAAAAAAAAGCAATAATTTGTTAAAACTATGATATGAATGAGAAAAGTAAACATGGCTATAGTTGTTACAGACATTAAAAGCATGGGTATTATAAACTAATGCTCCCCAAATTAAAAACAGGTGAAAGAAGAAGTTTTGTAAAAATATAAAGTACTGAAATGTCCAAAGGAAAGAAAAACTAACATCTTTATGAAAATTTAATCATAGCTTAAAATCTTCCCACAAAGAAAACATCATTCCAGTCTTAGATAAATTCTTCCACAGAATAGAAAAACACTTCACTTTTTCCATTTTATAAGATGGGAATAACTCATACCAAAAACTAAGGGCAGTTTGAAAAAGGAAAATTACATGGAAATGTTACTCATAATATTGACAGAAAATCTTAAATAAATCACCAGTAAGCTGTCTCCATCAATAGATAATGAAAAAGAAGAGGTAACAGAATGAAGTGTCTACATTAACAGCTCAAAAGAGAAACACTCACGATCATATACAGGAGCAGGACAGTATTCAATAACATTCAATGTCTATTGACTATTTTTTAAAAATTTAGGAAAATTACTCAGTGGTTGGTTCCTGCCACCCACGTGGGAGACCTGAATTGAGATCTCACCCTCTCTTCCCTTCTCCCCACAGTTGCAGACATTTGGGGAGTAAACTAGCAGCTATGTCTGTCTCCCTCTCTCTCTCTGGCTCTCAAATATTTTAAGTGCTATTTTTAAGACCTACTCAAAACATAACGGTACATGGCAAATGTGCCATTACTCAAAGGTCAGGCGTGTTTCCTTCAAGATTCAGAACAGGAGCAATCATCACTCTCACCATTTCTATTCTGGGTCACCCTGGAGAGTCTGGCCAGCACAATAAGGGAACACGGTCTTATCCTACTCCCCTCCAGAGAGGACCCATCCAAGGCTGACTTCGTGCTACAACAGGTGACTAGAAGGAAAAAGCTTTAAAACATCCTGTGTGTGCTGTGCAAATTCCAGTCCTGCTGGCTGAAGCACTTGTACATAGCATGGCATTTTTGGAAGGATATATATGTGCATATATATATATGGCTCGCAGGCTGAGATTGATATTTCTGGCAAACCCAGCAGTAACATTGAAGGAAGGCAGAAGGCTACAAGGGTGCTTCAAAAAGTTTGTGGAAAATGGAGGTAAATTATAATTTTATTTTAGTACCAAAAAAAATCTTAAAATCCATGCATACAGTTGGTCTTCAAAATATTCAGGAAAAAAATGAATATCACAAAAACACTATGCATGGATTTCTTTCGCACAAAAATAAATTTATCTTTGCATTCCATTATTCCATGATCTTTTTGAAGTGCCCTTATATTAGAAATTTCATACACTGTCAACACAGTGAATCAAAACACATGGTAAGACCAAGCAAAGGGCCCCATAGCTCTCATTCTTCACTCTATTCCCAGCACCCAGCAACTGCTTTGCACGTCACTAGAGTTCAGTAGACTAGCCTCAGTGGCAGACTCTTCTCCTGGCCAGGAGAGAATTACCTCTGCTGCTAATTTCTGTAGAAGGTTGCCAGAAACAGAAAAGCAGCTCCCTGAAAAACCAAAAACAAACAAATCAACAACAACAACAAAATTTTCCGAGCAACAAATCTGGTCTTGTGGGCCACAGAGAATTCAGCAGGCCACTGGAGGTGAAGTTTCTCTGTCTGGGGCAGGTGTTTGCACAGTGCTTGGGATGCCCACATCCCCTATCAGAGTGCCTGTGTTCAGGTCCTGGCTTCACTCCCGACTTCAGCTTCCTGCTAATGCACACTCTGGAAGGCAACTGGGTCCCTGCCAACCATGTGGGAGACCTGGAATGAGTTCCTAGCTTCTGGCTTCTGCCTACAAGCATCTGGGGAGTGAACCAGTTGATGGGAAACACACACACTCTCTCTCTCTCTTTCAAATGAATAGAATAAAATTCTAAAAATTTTAAGAAAAAGAAAAGGCTCTCTGTCTAAGACGGTAGGACGCTAGCAGGGGAGCTAAACATTGCCAGGGGAGACCTCACTGGCCATAAACCAGACATGAGCCTTTCATGATTTGTGAGATACTGCAAATGAAATTAATTTTAAATTTCAAGGCACTATGCTTATATTAGCATCTGATTTTTACAACAGCACTTGTTCCACCTTGGAACGAATGCTTTAAAAATGGAACTTCCGTGTACTCTAACTTACAACTTTAATCTTCCATCTGAAAAAAATAATTGCAACTTAAACCTGAGTCCATTGTTTTTCAGTGTTGATAGTCCCCAGTCACTGACTGAGCAAGACTTTCTGTAGCAACTGGGGTCTCAGTTCAGAGGGATTTTGGTGCTTACGATGGCCTGAATCTTGGGACAGCTCAAATTTCCTTCCTTCTCTGCCACACTGTGCTTCCTTGATCTTTGTGTTTGGGGACCTTTCCTTAACTCTCCTTGAGTCCCAAGTCACAGATTCTATTTAAAAAAAAGAAAAAAAGGAAGGAAGAGAGGGAGGGAGGGAGGGAGGAAGAGTCTTACCCTTCCCCCCACTGGCATCACCTCCACATTCCCTTTCTGGTTTGTGTTTCCCACAGCCCTGCAGTATCCCAAGGTTCCTGGGACAACTGTCACACAGTGCACACCAGGCTGGAATCAGGAGAAAGTGACTTCACAACAGTGTCTCCTGGACATGGAGAAGAGAACCTGGGTTCAAGTCCTAGTTCTGATACATTCCAATGGATCTCAGCTCCGACAAGCCACACCTCCTCGCTGGGCCTCCCAGGAAACGCTGCTATCCAGCAGGGAGGGCAAAAGTCAAGGAAGGAAGCTGACTGGGTGGGGTAAACAAAGTCCTAGTGTGCACGAGGCTTCCAGGGAGGGGTGGGGACTGTGGAAATGATTAGATGTAAGCCGCAGTAGCCAGCACTTTTTTTTTTTTTTTAAACAGGCAGAGTGGACAGTGAGAGAGAGAGACAGAGAAAAAGGTCTTCCTTTGCCGTTGGTTCACCCTCCAATGGCCGCCAAGGCCGGCGCACCGCGCTGATCCGATGGCAGGAGCCGGGAGCCAGGAGCGAGGTGCTTTTCCTGGTCTCCCATGGGGTGCAGGGCCCAAGCACCTGGGCCATCCTCCACTGCACTCCCTGGCCACAGCAGAGGGCTGGCCTGGAAGAGGGGCAACCGGGACAGAATCCGGCGCCCCAACCGGGACTAGAACCCGGTGTGCCGGCGGCGCTAGGCGGAGGATTAGCCTAGTGAGCCGCGGCGCCGGTCCAGTAGCCAGCACTTCTACTCGTCTACAGCCGCTCAACTCAACCAGCCCTGTGTTGCCAGGTCTTTTGGACATGAGAGCCCTAGAATACAGATTTTTATGTGAAGTTTCTTTTGATCATGAGCTCAAGGTTTTGTAACGTCGGGAGCCCTTTCTGAGTAGCTGCTTGGAGCCGGTTTTACATCTGCTGTTGACCTTAGGAGCATGCTCAGTTGTGCTGCTGTCCGGGAACTTCCAGAGCTGCTTCCCCAACCCTCCCCGCAGTCCCCTGACTATCCCTGGAACTTTATCTGGGAGACACTCAGCCTCTGAGGCTTTGTTCCAGATCTGGGAAGTGAGCAGCTCATCCTGAGGGAGACAAACTTGACGGAGTAGGGATTTGTCCCACGGGGCCAGAGCTCCCCCAGAGCTGATGTGTTGCGCTTGGCATCAGCCAAGGCAAACTGGATGCTGACCTCTCAGCTCCTGGATCAGTCTCACCTTTGGCCAGTCTTTGGCCAGGCCCCAGCGAGTCTCCTCCTATGCACAGCATGTTGTTTAGGTCCAGGGCGCACCCCTGCTCCTGATCCAAATGCGAAGATTCCTGGAGCGTGAGCTTCCTCCCCATCCGCTGTCCTCCTTCCTGGGTGCTGGGGCTCTCGGTCTTTCCCTTCTCTGTGTCTCACCTACTGCTGCTCCTGCCCGGACCACTGTCGCTGGTGCTTTAAGGAATTGAGCTCACCACCTGGAAACCAACCAGCTGTGGTGTGCTGTGGCCTGTGTGAGCAGTCACAGTCCCTCAGTCCCTCTCCTACTTGATTTCAGAGGTTTCAAAAGGGTTTGGGACATAATCCCCAATCCCAAACATAATCACAATCCCGAATGTCATAAAACTGAATGCTGAAATCTTGAAAGTTCTGTCTCAAAAGCTGAAAATACCAAAGGATTAAAATCTGGAAACAGGGCATACATTTGACTTAGTAGTTAAGACACTGGTTAAGATACCCCTGGCCCATATTGGAGTACCTGGGCTCAAGCACTGGCTCCAGCTCCTGGCTCCAGCTCCTGACTCCAACTCCTTGCTAATGCACACTCTGGGAGGAAACAGGTGATAGCTCAAGTAGCTGGCGGCTCTCTAGGACTCAGATGGGAGACCTGGATTGAATTTCTAGCTCTGTGTTTCAGCCCCAACAGAGGTATTTCAGAGATGGGGAGTGAACCAACAGGTGGGACCTCCCTCTCTTTCCCTCTGTCCTCTCTCTTTCTGCCTCTCAAATTACTTTTCAAAATCTGGAAATTTAATAAATAGAACTCTTGAAAAAACAATTTTAAAAATTCTTTAAAAGACTTTCATTTACATTTTTCAAAGGGGAAACATTCAAATTTGGGAAACATGTAAAACAGGATACTTCCTAGGCTACATTAAACAACAAAACAAACAATCACAACACCTATATTTTCACAAGCATAAACACCCAGGTTGAATGGTGACAGTCCCACGGATGCAACAGTCAGACTCAGACAACCCCTATTCATAAAGAAATAGGTCAAAAAGTAAAATGGATAAATGTCTGTGCCGAAGGATGGTAACCTTGTGCACCCAGCTTTGTCATCCGAAACACCACAGTCTTTCTGACGAGTTTGCTCAAAGACCACCAAGGTCACTATCATCCGCAGATGTCCAGAGAGCCAAGATGTCGAGAAATTTTACCTTTCACAGAGGCAGATGCGCAAAAAAGGCATCTCTTCACTGACGGAGGAAGTAATGACATTCTTATGTGCAGGCACGATGCTGATGCACAAAGTCCACGTGGTGAGAGCGTACCACCATGGAGTCGAATTTGCAACAAATTCATAAAATTAGAACTCTCTAAAAGTTTGTGCGTCACTATAAATTGGCAATGATGTGAGGAGGAAAGATAAAGAGGCAAACTGCAAAAATTAACACCAATGGCTTTACATAGTGTGGGGAAAAAAATGGAATGAAAATTTGACATATGGAAAAAATTGTGCCGTAGGTATTGACGATGGGCAGTCGCACAGGAGCGGTCTGTGGGAGCTGGTGGCTTTCATGATTGTTAACCGTACTTTCCAGTCCTGGAGGGTGATGAATAGCTGTGCTTTTTCTTTTGAGGGTGTGGCTCTCCTTGGGAAACACACTCACACTCATTTTCTATGTGGCGCTGCACTTTCTGAAATTCTTAGACTCCACGTACACTGACATCAATGTCTCCTGTTGAATCATCTCCACTTCGGTGCCATGCTTTTATGTTATTTTGGATGCATGGAAAGCCATTACACATGCACTCATGGACCACAGATATGTGGAGAAGCACAGGTGATGTTTTCGTCAGCTGGAAGGAGGGCACTAAAGACAGGAGGCGCATCATCGAGCAGGACTTTTCATTGTCGCTGCATCGCGTGGCCAAATCCTTTCTCCAGAATTTGGCTGTGGCTGTCTGGCCCTCTAGCATAGTCCCTTACTGCTCCCTGCCCCTTGGGAATTGTGGTTTTCAAGATTCCAACTTTTGCGATTATGATTTTCAGGATTTTAGATTTATGGGATTTTGATCTTTTGGGATCACGACATTCAGGACTGTGGTATTTGGGGTTGTGTCTCCTGGGATTATGACTGGCACCTCCTCAAAAGCTGTCCCCTGGCCAACACTCGAGGCTCTTCCCACTCTTTATCCACAGTAGCTCATTTGCTGACCCTGAGTCTCCTGTGTCTCAGATCCTGTCAGCACTATGGCACAGAAGGAGACAACAGCACAAAGTACCACAGGTGGCAGCTCTGAATACAGACATGCCTGGGTTTCAAACAGGAAGGGCAAAAATACTCACAGGTGCCTCTTACTGCCTCTGTGACCTCAGTCAAGGTCCTTAAAGTACCTAAGCCTCAGCTACCTCATCCGTAAAACAGACGTACTATATACCTGTGGTGTTGTGTTTTCAATGTATTTATTTGAAAGAGAGAGAGAGAGAGAAAGGAAAGAGAGAGAGAGAGAGAAGAAAAGAGAGATCTTCCATTCACTGGTTCACTCCTCAAATGACCATGATGGCCAGGACTGGGTTAGCCTGAAGCTAGGAGCTTCATCCAGGTGTCTCCCACAAGGGTGCCCAAGCACTTGGGTCATCTTCCATTGCTTTCCCAGGCGCATTAGCAGGGAGCTGAATCAGAAGTGGGGCAACTGGAATTTGAACCATTCCCATATGGGATGACAGCACTGCAGGCAGAGGCTTAACCTTCTATGCCATAGCACCTGCTCTGATGTTTGATACTGTTTGTCACCTTGGCTGGGGCTCCATGCCCAGACATGTGGTCAGACATTATTCTGAATGTCTTTACAAGAGTGTTTGGGATGAGATTAATATTCAAATTGGTGGACTTTGAGTGATGCTGATTTCTCTTCATAATGTCAGTGGGCTGGATCCAATCAGTTAAAGGCCTGAGCGGAACGCAAAGAACTACCACCACCACCACCCCAGGAAGAGGGAATCCTTTGAACTTCAACATCAGGCTCTCCAGGGTCCGGCTGACAGGCCACTTGCAGATTTGGTGACTTGCTAACAACTCTCACCACATGAGCCCCTTCCTTAAGGTAGATATGGGGCCACCACTGTGTCATAAAAGGTTAAGCCTCACCTGCAGTGCTGGCATCCCATATGAGTACCGGTTCAAGTCCCGGCTGCTCCACTTCCCATCCAGCTCCCTGCTAATGTACCTGAAAAGCAGCAGAGGATGGCTCAAGTCCTTAAGCTCCTGCATCCATGTGGGAGACCCGAATGAAGCTTCTGGCTCCTGATCGGCCTAGCTACAGGGTGTATGGCCATCTGGAGAGTGAACCAGAGGATGGACAATCTCTCTGTCTCTTCCTCTCGCTCTGTAACTGACTTTCAAATAAATCTTAAAAAAAAAAAAAAGATAAATTTTCATTTTCTCTCTCTCTCTCTCTTTGATATATACATGAAAGTACTTCAGAAAGTTCATGGAAAATAGAATGAAAAAGTGTATTTCAATATAAAATGTTTTAAAATCCATGCGTAGTTTTCTCGTAATATAAGTACACACTTTCCAAGACCCCCCTGCATTTTGCCGTTGGTTCTGTTCCTCCAGGAGCCCTCAGTGAGTTCTGGCAGGGTTACATGAGATGAGTTTGGTAGAAGGCCAATCACCGTGTGCTTGGTAGATAAAAATCTCTCAGTAAACGGCAAACAAAAAGTGGGGGCCAAACGATTCTTCCTGGTTCCGTTTCTCCCTTGCTGACCTCCCCCTCTCCAAACCTAAGACTGGGCCTGTTTGAACTCAGCACTGCTCTCTCATGGGTCACAGGTGGATGCAGGGTTCAGGTCTGGGCTGGGAGAGCATGGCATGCATGTCACACCTTCCTCAGTGTCACTGCGGGGTCCCTGCGGGTTTCAGAACGATGGCAGCCACCTTTAGTACCCAGAACTGTGAGCCCAAGGCTTCCAGGTGTTAGACCTACCTGGAGGGACAGAACACTGGACAAGAGATCCAAGTCCTAAACGCTCTCCACATATTTCAACTCAACTCTCTGGCAAGGCCACCATCAAGTCAAAGGTGAAAACTGTCCCAGTGTGCACTCAATCAACAGACCAGAAATGCATTTTCTAGAAGGTGAGCAATTCTGCGTTCTTACTGCTCCCCTCAGCATCCGCTGCCACCCACCTGGACTCAGGAAACCTGGCCGCGAGACACAGCCCCTGCATCCTCACAGCTTCCTCTCCCTGGCCTGGGCCCCGCCCCAGGAGGAGTGCGCATGCTCGGCTTCTGCCCTGATTGCTGTTTGCTTGTACAACCTGTGCTTTTCCAAACAGACCCCGGCTGCTGGGAAGTCATTGCTGTCCTGGATCTCCACCCCAGGCTGCCGTATTGTTTTCATTTCCTGTGCTTCTAACTTCCTTGTCATAATATTATCTTACATTCACGGTGCTGCTAGCTGGCAGGCAGGGTGACAGACCATCATGTGGCATCAGCCACAAGCGTTTCTCCCTACTTCACCCGTGGGCGCTCTGCGGCACGGTGTAGTAGCCCTCAGCAAGTGAGGAGAGAATGGCACAGGGACACTAGGCCTGCTGTATACCACCTGAGCGTCCCTCACCCCAAAATCTGAGACGCTCCAAAATCCAAAACTTTTCTGAGAACCAGCATGACCCCACAAGTGGAAAATTCTGTGTTAAGAAAACTTTGCTTCATGCACAAAACTATTAGAAAAATTGTATAAAATTACTTTCAGGTGATACACATGGGCTGTATAACAAAACAGGAGTGAATTCTGTTTACAGACCTGGGTTTCAGGCCTGAAATAACTCATTAAGTATCTGCAAATATTCCAAAATCAAAAAAAGAAATTCAAAATCTGAAACACTTCTGATCTCAAGCGTAACGGATCCTCTAACTGTATTTTCTAGATAAGCTACTCCACATAGACATTGGTTTATGAAGAATCCTGCGTGCCCAGGAAGTAATCAGGAACCAGCTTGCATGCCATACTGTGGTACGGACAGTGGATATAGAATGCCCAACTTCCCTGTCACCGGTATCCCCAGAGTCAAGTTAGTTATTCAAACCCCTGTGGCACATGGCCACAGTCCCACCCCACCGAGGACCCCTTCCCTGCCTGAGGGTAAGCTGCCCGCGCTGCTGCTTCCACACCGACCAGGAAGCCTCCTCCCAGCTATTGTCACAGCTCACAGCCTCCCTGTGGCACTCAGTATACGGCTACTCAGCGTGAAGGCCACAGTCCATATTTTACCAAGACTCCACTGACTATAAGGCTGCACTGGAGGCCGGCACTGTGGAGCAGTAGGTGAAGCATCCGCCTGTGGTTAAGCTGCCACCTGCAGTGCTGGCATCCCATATGGGCACCAGTTTGAGTCTCGGCTGCTCCATTTCTGATCCAGCTCTCAGCTAATGGTCTGGGAAAGCAGTGGAAGATGGCTTGGGCCCCTCCACCCAAAAAGGAGACCCAGATGAAGCTCCTGGCTCCAGGCTTCAGATCAGCCCAGCTCTGGCTGTTGCAGCCATTTGGGGGAGTGAACCAGCATATGCAAGACCCCCCCCCCCCTTTCTCTCTCTCTTTCTCTCTCTCTGCCTATGTCTGTAACTCTGCCTCTCAGATAAATAAATAAATCTTAAAAAACAAAAGATTTCATTGATGTTAAAAATGGGGACAGATGGCTAATGGTGACTATAAAACATTATTCACTGAAAGATACATTTCAGAGATGTTAAAATATGAAAGGAAATTAATCTAAAATGAGTAAAAATAAACAGTTTGAATCTATTAGTGTTTTAGCAGCTAAATTATTTGCTTGTGGTTCAAGGCTTCCATCACCTTCTATTATGAATAACATTGACAACTACAATGATACCATTATGGTCTTAATTTTCCTTGTGTTTCGCACTTTATAGTGTAAGCAGAAAGATTCAACACTCAGATCTCTTCCTTCATCCACCCAAGAGAAATCCTGAAGCTGCCAATGAGGCCAAATTAATCTACACAGATAAAGACCGAGAACAAGGAGGAGTGTGTGCAGGGGAGAATTAAGCAATGCAGGACGGTTCAGGGTGGGTGGCAAAGACGACCTGGGAGCCGAGAAGCTGGGCGTATGACACGTTTGTGCACAAGCAAAGGGGACTTCCTGCCAGTGCGTGCCATGTGCATCCAGTTTCCTCACTGCCCTGCAGGAGACACGCGGGAGGAGTGGGACTGCTTCGTAAGCACTTCCGGCTACTGAACTGTGCCTCTTCAGTACAATGCTATTTTGAGACTAAACCACTAGAGTTCAGGCTTTTGAGGGTTCTGTGAACACTGATGCCGTGCAGCGGGCAGGAGAAACATCATCACCTCTCACTACTGAGAAAGACAATGATCCTCAGAGAAGTCAAGTGATTTTGCCAAGGGCTTCCCCGGGAAATAAACAAGAGATGGGGCTGGTGTTGTGGCACAGTGGGTTATGCTGTGGCATCCCATATGAGCATCAGTTTGACACCCAGCTGCTCCATTTCTGATCCAGCTCCCTGTTATACACCTGGGAAAGCAGTGGATGACAGTCCAAGTACTTGGGCCTCTGCCACCTGCAAGCAAGACCTGGATGGCGTTCCAATCTCCTGGTGTCAGCCTTGCTCATCCTTG